CTTGGTGCCCCTGAGTGGGACACATCAGGAAGCGGTCCCTGGGCCTGGTGTCCCCAAGGCCCTCTGGTGCGTGTTATTTTGGGACCGGACCACGTGATGAGTAAGTGCCTGTTGGATTAGATAGAGTCAAGGCCAGCTTCCAGACTGGTGTCTCCCAAGCAACTCGGGTCAGAGGGACTGAGGCCTATGGCAAGATTCCAGCTCCACCCACCCCCAGACCTCTCCAGGGCCCTGGATAACAAAAGGAAGCATGGTGAGCAAGGGGAGAAGCTCTTCCTTCCCCTCCAACCCAAGCTCTGCAGGGCGCGTGGGCAGAGGCCAGATCTGATGACCTGGGCAGGGCAGCTCTTGCTCGGCGGGTCTTGCAAACTTGGACTATCTGGGATCTGAGTTCTGATGGTGAACTGGGTTTCCTGGGCTGGGAGGGATTCGCTTCCTTCCCCGTGGGACTCACCCTTCAACCTCAGCCTTCCCAGGCACTGTCTCTGGCCTTCCTGAGACTCCAGGGACCTTGGCGAAGAGATCATGAGCCACATTAAGAAAGGAGTTTCAAGGTGCTTGGTTTTACATAATTAAGACTCCGGGTGGCCTTTGCATCTCAAGTCAGTGGAAGCTGCCATACTATAGAAAAGAGACTATCCCACTGAGTGACAGCAGGATGCTGCCTGCGTGTGCGTGTCCCGTGTGTTGTTCTCTCTTTCCATCACTCTCTCACTCAACCACACAAGCAATAAAATTCAGAAAAAAATGTTCAGGTGTTTTAAAAGCAGAACCATGTCGCTGTGAGTTTCATGTTTCGCTCAACAAAGTCATTCAGGTGGCAACATCATGAACAGGGACAACTGGGATAAAAGCAGATTCTTCCCAGGCATTTAAAAGGATGAGACAAAGGCAGTCCCTGCCCGTGTTACCTGTGTCTGTCAACATGATTCTGCAGTCTCTCATGTAGACATGCAAGAGTGGAAAGGAGTAGAGTTTGGAGCCAGAGAGAACTGGAGTTCAACTCTAGCCCTGCACCATTGCTAGCAACACAACCCTGAGGAAGCTGCCTTCTGGGTGTTCTCACTTGCCTTGTGTCTAAAATGGGAATGGATCCTGCAGGGAAGGCTTCATGCCAAGATCACAAGAGCAGCTTAGGCAAAGTGCTTGTGGCTGAGCCCGCTTGGCTGCTCAGCCAGTGGCAGGGTGTTCTCAAGATGGCGGCCCTCCTCCTTCTCACCGTTTCCTCTGGGCAGGAGAAGAAAGTACAGTATGGCTCCCTGTCTAATTCTCCATCTTCTGGGATGACACACTTTGTGGCTCAGGCTTGTCTACATGTCAATGCTAGGTCTACAGCTGAGAAATTTCCAAGCCCTTTCTCTTATACGGCATATGGAGTCCAACACCGAGAGACTCTCCATCATTGAATCTTCTTGGACCAAGAGATGAAAAAAGTTTATAAAGTTTAGTTTTAAAAAGCCACACAGCCGGCAGTGAGATGAGCTACAACACGGAATAGAAGAGCAGATGCCAAAATAAGAGGAATAACTATTGAGACTCATGTTGTGTAATACAATAGAAATTAAAATTTTAAGTAATTAAAATGAAGTACAATTAAGCACGTAGTGTTTCTTTCACAGTAGACTCATTTTCAATGCTGAAGTCTCACTGGGCAGGCTGCAGCTGTTTTGATAGTAGTAGATCTCGAACTTAATTCCATCACCTGAGAAAGTCCTATGGGATTCAGGGATGATGAGCAATTTCAATTTTTTATTTTTCTAAATCATGTGCCATCCTTATTTTTTCTATTAAAAATTTTCAATATCAACAGGCCAGGGAAAAATTTTAAAAATACTATTTTGGTTGGTGTATTTATACTGTGCATTAATTACATTCATATTTGTAAATTGGTTAATATTATTATATGACCTCAACCCAAAATGGCAAACCTGAATTACAAAAAGAGCTGCTCGCCTAGTAATAGGTGAGGTTGATGCTTTTAGGGATTTTTGTGTCTGGGTGTGGTGGAGATGAGCCCCCTGAAGGCCCCTGTTGTTCTGTGCAAATCCAGACCATCTTGGGATGGGACCTTCAGAGCCCTGGGTACAGGCCAGCTCTCCATGCATTCCTGATTGCTTTCTTTTGTAACTTCTGGAATATTAAATAGGTCGTCTTTGAGTCTTTCCCTCCATGGTTTTAGATTCTATTCTTAAACAATATGAGGGAGAGAAGCAAGGCTTGGAGGAGGAAGGAAGAACAGACTGCATAAGGTTTACTAGAGCACAGGCAAAACCAACCTGGGGAAGACACCTGGGCCTAGGCGTCTGCTTGGATAAGGGAGCGGGTGCATTGCTTAGTATGCACAAGGCCCTGGGTTTGAACACAATGTTGGGGGAGGAAGGTGAGAAAGGCAAAATTGGAGTCTGCTTAATTAAGAGTGCAAAATGGCAGTGCCAGGTCATCCAGGTGTCAGTCGGGGTCAGAGGAACATTAAAGTTCGGAACCCTGTTCAGCTGCACATGTTGCCTGCCCCTGAAGCCGGCCCTTATTCAGACTTTTATAAGCCACGGGAGGTAAAGTGATTTCAGTCTGAGAAAAAAAAAATTGTGGGCATTCCAAAATCAACCAGTAACTTTTTTGCAGGGAAACAAGTATCACTGCAAATCCCTCCCAAACATCCTATTATTGGGTCTACCTTTGATCAATATTCGAGTCTAAAACATCTCTAGGTAGCCTACTTTAAGATCAGGACACTGGTAGAAGCAGAAAGTAGAAAGGCAGTCGGTCACAAGGCTGGGGGCCTAGAAGATGACGAAGCGTGCAAACTGTCAATCAACAGATTCAAGAGCTCTGTCACACACCACGGTGGGTGACTGCAGCTGGTAGCGATGTATACTTAAAAATTGCTGGAGAGTAGATTTTAAGAGTTCTCACCAGGGGAAAATGACGAGCCAGTGAGGTAATGCATGTGTTAATTAGGTCTATTTAGCCATTTCACAAAGCAGACTTCAAAACCTCCTACTGAACACCCTAAATACAGACAACTTTTTCTTTATGAAATAAAAAATGAATAGTGAAATAGATACCATTCTATTGGGGAAAGATTAAGTTGGTGTGACTGTCACTACTGTCATTCAAGTGCTGAGGGGACTGTATGGCTGTAAAACTTGACCTCATTAGCTGAAGACAAAGAAGTACCATCCTTATGCATGTTGGTCTATGTCCACCTTGTAAAGTAACCCAAGTCGTCTCATCGTGGATGTTACGTTGTTTAGTAGCACAAACGAAAATCAAAATCAATGGCAGAATTACTTAGGCTGACTCCTGAGTTCACACTGAGAGAATGAGCTTTGCCATCACACGCTTTACTTGATACCATTTTCTGTAAGGAGTGGGGTGATATGGAATGGTTGGGAACGCACAAGTGATAGGATCAGTTTTGATTGTGAAGCAGAGAAGTCTGTCTTTATGGAAACTTTTAAAAGTTAGAACTATCCCATTTTACATAAGATCCTGATGGCATTAAGAGAACCAACCTCCCTAAGTAATTAAAACAAATTTAAAAAGAAAAAGAAAAAAGAAAAAGCAACTTTGTTTATGTCAGGCGCAGTAACTGGTTCTTAGAAGGAGTCAGGCAGCCAGGAACACTAGCCTCTGTGTCATGGCTGTCCTTGAGTGCAGCAGCAGCATCTGGTCAGGAGCAAGAGGAGGAGCTAAGCACTGTCCCTGAAGATATCAGGTGCGTGGTCGTAGGCTCACAAGATTATTTAATGTGGACAGGGGACAGATCTCGGTTGGAAGCACACATGCTTCAAATCCACCTCTGTTGATAATGGCTAGCTGTGGGATCTGGGGAAAGTAACTTTCTATTTCTGCCTCAGTGTCCTTGTCTGGGAAATGGGGTAACCAAGAGATCCTGCCCCAGATGCAAGTGCGTGGACCGAAGAGAAAAGGCACATAAAAAGCTTACCCCAACAGCTGGCCCGTGGTTAACGTCACTATGGAAATGACAGCAAGGAGCCTAGATGCATGACATATTTATGAATGGGAAACTACATGAGGGATATAAATATGGCAAGCATATTTTCTTAGCCAGATTTTGGGACATATGATTTGATAATCTCAATGGCACACTTGGGAGTAATGACATTGGAAATTTTAACTCACATGGGTGTTGGGAGGGGCAGGACGTGTAGCTGACATGGTCATAGGACGTGAATGGCAGCCTGAAGGCTTTTCTTTCAAATGTTCCTTTCTGAAGTCAGGTGCACGAGGGTGAAGGCAAAGAGACAGTGAGGAGAAGACGGAGAGGTGCAGAGGCAGCCTCCATCCCAAATGCACGAGCACACACCCTCACATGCACTAACACGCATGCACACGCACACACACACACACCCCTATGTACATACATGCCTGCACCTACACACATGCAATCAGTTTGTTAAAGGCTCATCTAAATATTTAACATGCATCCTAAGTCTATGCTAGTCTCCAAGTTGACACACTTACACCAACACACACACACTCACTCGCCTTGATCTTGAAAATACACTTAGAAATACCTTTGTGGAAACCCCTAAGAATTAATTTTAAAGTCAATTGGAATATTATATCCTGCACATTGCTATACAGATGCAAAAGGTTGTTCTGGAATTGATAGAGCCACCTCCACTGGGAAAGATTAAGATTCCTGAGAGCCATCTTGGATTCCAGGAAGTTCAGCTGCAGATGGCTCAAAGGTCTGTATTAAAAGCAGGTTTCACAGACAGGGCATGTCATTGCAGAAACCCCGGAATCCACACAGGGGAAAGCCAGGGATGCACACCTCTGACCTTTTTTCTTCATCTATCCCAAACTCACCATCTGTTTGGTTTAAAAATTCTATTTATCTGTGTGTGCATGTGAGGGACAGAGATCTAAAATAGCATACATACTATAAGCATTTTGTTTCCTAAATGCTTTCTTAATACATGGGCTCACCAAAGAAACAGGTTCACAAAAAAAAAAAAAAAAAAAAAAACTGAGATCAGTTGCTTTAATAAACATATCACGGTTTGATGTAGTGGTTGTTTTCTTTTTTAGACTTGATTTATCTGTCACTTTCTTTCCAAATTTGATTTATTGGTCAATTTCTTTTCAAGATTTGATTTATTGGTCAATTTCTCTTCAAGATTTGATTAAAACACATTACATAAGTCTTTTCAGATCTATTTCTAAATATCATATATATTTCTAAGTATGGATGTTTAAAGTCTTTATTCATAAATGTTCTTGATTGATGCTTGTTTTTTCATTAGTTTTTTTTTTCTATATACTCCAGGTAGTCATTTATTCTGTAATCGGAATCAACATAAACAAACCGTAAAATCCAATTGTGTAATGAATTACTCATATCTCAGACTCAGAGAGAAAAGGAACTTAAGACATAGCAAGGTAAAACCACCCGTGTGTGTGTGTGTGTGTGTGTGTGAGGGAACACGTTGGTGGTTGATCTTGAATCTCTGGGTTTACAGATGCATCATCAGACAATTCTGCAGGACAGGATTCCAGCATGATGTCTCCTGCGACCATTAATTGGTCCTCGGCTACCTGGATGGCCTTGTCAATGGAGAGTCCTATATCGTTCTGGAAAAGGTTGTTTCATTTTAACGGCTCCATGGTGCAAAGTCCCTTTCTGTCTTGGGACTTCCCTACATCCCCCTCAGGAAGCAATGCCCGTCAGATACCCCAGCCCCCCCATCAGGCCCTGGGGTGCTGGGTACTCCCCTGGAGGGCAGCTCCTCAAAGGTGGGCTGGGGCAAGACAGAACAGGCAGGTCTAGATCCGAGAGTCTGAGGGCTCCGAATCTCACACTTTCGTGTCTACACCCCTGAAGCCTCTTGGGATAAGAATGTTCAGAAACCAGTTACTAGTATGCACTCCAGGAGGGTGGGATGTCCACGAGCATGTGTCATTATTTAGAAAAGAAATAATTACACCCCTCTGCCTTCACACCGTCTTGGCCTAGTTTTATCATCTGCAAAACAAGAACAGTATCACTCACTTTGGAAGGAAGTTTCAAAGAATAAAAACACTAATACATGCAAAGCACACCCAGCTGGGGCGATGGTGGCTGCTGCCAGCTGTTTCACAGGTTGACGCTGAGTAGCCAGGACAGCTGAAGAAGTCTGTCGTCTACTGGCCAGTCACGGTGGGTCAGGCCTGGTGCACACCTCTCCAGGGGGCATCTGCTCCTGTGTGGTCGGTGTTGCAGAGACTCTCCCCCTTCTGGCTGGGTAAACTCAGTCAAGGCCAGAACAGTGAGCGTCGTCAGTCCCACCTCAGGCTGAGGCTGCCCCACTCTGCAAGGTAGCCTTCTGCATTTTTAAGAAAGTTCAAGATTTTTTTTTTAAAGCATGTTGGAGCTCTAAGACACTCAACAACTGCAGGTCATTAATGTCAACTTCAAGGGAGGAACTTGGGTGGCTTCAGCAAGGACTCAACTTAGTTGATTCTCTGCCTGGCCCTTGGCATGGCCAGGGAAGTGCAGCTTTGATTACACTGGCCATGTCCCCAGTGTGGACACCTCTCTTTCAGATTGGCACTCCTCTGAAAGTGATCCCTTGTTGTTCCCTGTTGTCTCTCCGAAGCCTGGTGCCAATGTGGGTCATCTTGCAGCATCTGAAAAAGGGGGCGGACAAAGCCTGATTCAACCAGCTTTTCTCCTGTCTTGTTTAACAAATCGGGATTCTAAGAAAGTTATATCTTCCAAAATTGTTTGTAAGATAAATCTCCAGGCTGGGCGTGGTGGCGCACATTTGTAATCCCAGCGGTTTGGGAGGCTGAGGCAGGAGGAGCGTGAGCAATTTAGCGAAGCCCTGAGCAACTCAGCAAGACCCTTCTCTAAATAAAAATATAAAATCGGGCTGGGGATGTGGCTTAGTGGTTAACCATCCCTGGGTTCAATCCCTGGTACCAAAACAAACAAACAAATAAATCTCCAACTCCTTAGCATGGTACAAAGGCCTGAGACCTACCTGCCCTGGTACCCACCTGCCCTGAGACCTACCCGCCTGTCCATCCAGACCTTGTGTGGCACCTGCTCTTGGGACAGGGGGAAATGTTGGCTATTTATTGGGAAATTTCCTGCTCCCTGGTTCTTCAGTCTCTGCACTCACCATTCTCTCTCCTGAAGCCACTGAGCCATCTCCAGTGACTGGAGAATCCCTCGTCCTCCCACTCGTGTCAGGTGCTGCTCTTCTGTAACCCCTTCTCACCTCCTCCACCTCTGGACTCCCTCCCCCTCCATCCCCTCAGGGCGCAGGGCAGGAGCTCATCCCTTATCCTTCGCCTTCCTTCTCCAAGCCTTCCCAGGCTGTGTGCCTGAGTTCTCCCACCAGGATCTGCTGCTGACTGAGAACCGCCGAGGGGATGCCTTCCCCGAGTGGCCATGTCTACAGGAGTCAGGTCCCAGGCTGGCGCAGTGAGGCCTTGGAAAACCGTGACATAAATGAGCAGAGCCGTGGCTGTAGGTCTGCCACGATCCCAATCAACTAGACTCCATTTGGCTGCACCAGTTGGGTTTGGGAACAAGACTAGGAAGATGTGGTGACCCCTGCCCACTTCCACGAGGGCACAGTTGAAGGAGCGTGGAGATTGGCCTGTAGGTGAATCGGGGTCTGCCGTTCCCAGCCGTGTGAAGCTTGGATCTCCATCTCTCCACCTGCCCAGTGGGTTACTAACATCCCAAACCTGGAAGAGTTGGAGTAGTAAGTGATGGGAAAACGACAAAGGTTGTGGCACTCAGTAGGCATCCCTGGGGCTGCCAGGGCCCCTTGACTCTGTGCTGCACAGGAAAACTGCACTGCTCAGCATTTGGCTGGGCAGCATCAAAGAGCCAGGCCACTCGGAGCCCTGGGCCCAGACCAGGACCAATGAGAGGTGGGGCTGGCGGGAGCCATCTGGAAGGCTGCGGGAGTGTTTAGCAGCTCCTGTTACAGAACCCTCCTTTTGGGGACAGCTCAGGCAGACAGGGTGGAGCAGTTTATGTTCGGAAAGCACCTTTGTCAAAGAGATGCCTCAGCAAATTATCCTGCAACACAGTTGGCCATCTTACCCTAAGCCTGTAGACTGGCATGATGAAATTAGCTGGTCAGAGAGCAGCCAGGTCTCATCCCTGCTCCCAGACATGCCACAGCCTCCAAGAAGGCCCAAGGGAAGGCGGGTTATTGTTGGGGTTCTTTGCTCTGCCTTCTTAAGAGGGCGTCTAGCAAGGCACAAGATACACAGGGTCCCTCTCTAGTGCTACCTGTCATTGCACTCAATGATATCTCTGCTTTTCTCGGTGCTCTTACCTTTGCAACATCAAAATAAGAACAACAGCTAGTGTGCCATGCATGTACTGGTGCCAGGAACTGCCACAATGCCACAGAAGGATTTCCTAGGGCAGTTTGTCAACAATCCTACTGAGGCAGGGACTAAACTCTCCAGTGTGCAGATAGGAAAACAGAATCAAAAGCAAGTGGCTGAGTCACTGGAGCTGTGTCTGCTGGTCTCTAGAGTAATCTCTCAGTCCTCACTCATTAGGAAGGTGGAAGAATGCGAGCCACATCAAAGATGCCGAGATAAGAGAAAGACCATCTCAAGGGAATTTGAGGGCCAGTGGTAAAAGCTGCCAAGGGTCGATTGAAATTCCAGCAGTTTGAAGGACATTTCAGAAGAAATGTCACAAGACAGAGGACAGGAAGATAACTGGGGTGAATGAGGATGCTTACAAACAAGTGAAAGTCTCCTCATCTCCTCCAGATGTGGCCCCTCGACCCACTGTGTGGAGTTCACCCGGACAGTTATTAGGAAGAATGATTTTTGAACCCAATCCCTCTTCCAAAGACATGGAATTCTCACAATGGGCCCAGAAAACTGACCATTGAACAAGCTCCCCCAAGTGAGACTTTTGTACTCTCCAAGTTTGAAAATAGTGAAGTACATCTCACGTGCCTCCTTAGTGTCTCATGGCTTCCCTGTCTAACAGAACAGGGACTGGCCCAGTGTGGCCCTTCATGCTTCTGCCCTTACTTATGATGGCTCCCGCCATTGTTGATTCAAACAAAGTAATAAGAAAGGGCAGGGTTCTGGCTTCCCCAGAAGCTAGAACCCAAAATGTGAGTAATTCAAGTCTTATGGGAAGAATTTTTTGCCAGGGGGAGTGGACTGATGGACTCCCTCTATGTCCTGCTCTGATGGCCTGTCCTAAGGACACATCTGGAAATAAACAGCTGGTCCTTGTGAGCCATAAACAATGACAACATATCAACAATGCATCACTTCCAGCTTCCTCTGGTCCACTGTCTGGACACTAACCCACACTGCTCTGGGCTGCACTTCTTAATAAAGGACCAGCGCTCAATGTTTGTCCCAGGCTCTGGATTTTTCAGAAACTTGAGTCAATAAAAGAAGCAATACTCTATAGGTTACAGTCTGAGATCTCTGGAATGCATTCAGTATCTTTGGGTTTTGACCCCTTCTTACCTCTAACAGTGGTGTGCTGGTAAACATTTAACAATCAGCCTCCCCAAGGGAAAAAAAAAGCCCTCATTTTTAGTGTTTCCTGATTTCTGTGGTGTAAATATACCCACAATGGCTGAATTTAATCTACCAATATGATATTATTAACTGCAGGGTTGGGAAGAAATGTACAATGCTGCATCAATGGAAGGTATTTCTATCAAACAGAACATAAATATTAATAACCTCAAGGGTATAAATATAGCAAAATTTACCACTTAGCTCCAGCTCCCTCTTCAAAGCATGTCCTGGGTGTCCAACAGGTTTGCCATGATCTGGTTTAGCATATTGATTTTAGTGAGTTATGTTGATTTTCTGCCTTCCAAAGTCCTTGGTTATCATTGCCTGAACCCACAATAATAATCCTTCAGAAGGAGATTATAAACTGGATGATCTCACAGTGGAACTCAGTCTTAAAGAAGTACAGAAATTAATTGGTGATATTTTGTGACCAAATTAACCACATAATAACAGAGATTGTGAGGTGAGGATTAAGTGGGTAAAGTAGATCTTTGAGCAGGCTTCTGAAATATCTCTGCTTTTTATTCATCAAATCAAGAACAATTGGCACATTCCCACTATAGTTATGAAATCTATAGATTAGATCCATGCCTTAATTTACTCATCTGGAAAATGGAAATAATTAATGATAACCACACCATAGGGCTTAATATATATGAAGAGCTTAGGGCAGAGCCCAACACAAAGTACTCTGTAAGTCTCTGCTAGGTTGGGGATTTTCCGTCACAGGCTTCTGCCACCCTCATATACATGCAAGAACGTTTTGGCCAACCCTCACTTTGACAGGCTTCAACCACCAGGATCTTTTCTTTTCTAAATTCAATTCCACTGCTAGTGCCAGCTATATCGACACTGGGCTACTGAGGAAGAGCTAAGCAAGACTTTTCTGCCAAAGTCATTTCCCGAAGTTTCCATTTTTGGAGGAGAAAATTAGACAATGGCCAAAATCAGCAGTTTGAGGGTGAAGGAGGAGAAAATGAGCTTCTCTTTGCCAATGGTTTTGTTGCAGAATTTTCTAGGCTCCCAGGTGCAGAGTGGGAGAAGAACTGCTCTGTCCATGACCAAGAAGAAATAGACCCACCGGTAGAGTCAGCCCAAAGGTAGAGCTCCAAAAATAAGGACTGATTTGGCTGTGGGTACTAGCTGTTCTCTACCATTGTACCCCAGCCCTCCACGTACCACTGTGTAGCCTTGGGCATGTCAGAACCTCTAAGGCTGTTTCCTCATCTACAGAGCCGAGAGGATAATGGTGGCCAAGTCTTTGGGTGTTGTGAGCATCCATTGGGATGATCTATGTTAGAGTTGACCCTGGTCACCCTCTAGTAGTGTCAAATGACCAAAGTGATCCATAAGCCAAGGCCTAGAGGGTGATTCAAGAAAAGGCAGTGAGTGTCTGATGCTGCAGGGGAGCAGATCAGGGCAAGCATCTGGTGTCACTTGCCCACCCCCAAAGGTCAAAATGAGGGCCCTGTCCTGCAATTTGAGCAACAGACTGAGCAAGCCAGAAAGTGACCAGCACGCCTTATAGCTGGAGTGCCTTGTTCCTGAGTTGTTTTGGTCTGTGGAGGCCATTTTACTAGCACAATGGTCATCAGAAAGAGCGTGAAAGGGAATCGTGCCCATTTATGCTTAAGTTAGACTAGGAAATGAGAAAGGAAGGAGGGAGAGAAGGACAGAGGAGGGAGGGAAGGAAGGAGAGAAGGTTAGTTTATCAGTTCACCTCCAAGGAAGTGCCATGGTTTGGTATTGCCCAGCAGTAACCATCTTTGGCTAACTGTACTGATCTGATTGTCATTTCATGTGATCATAGTGCAGCACTTATTTGGGTTAGAATTAAAGAGCAATATTAGAACAAAGTTTTATCTTTATTTTCTCATTCAAGAGATGAAGGGAGGTTTGGGTCACACTTTGAGTGAATTATACCAAATCATACTCCATTATACCTAAAGAGTGAGGCACAGAGATAGCTTATGTCCCTGGAAGAAGTGGGACTGGGGGTTCTTCATGAAGAGTGGGCACAGAGTTCTGGGCCCTAAGGATACACTGCTAAGTGACAGACACACCTTCTCCCTCACAAGCATTTAGCTGTGGTTAAG